TTTATCGGAAATACTCGCGATGTCTCGAGCTGGTGCGCATACTTGGACGGTTTGCTTTGGGTAGAGCTTTCTTTTATCGAAAAACGTAATTCCCGCTAACTTGCCCTACGAATTATCCTTAGTTGTTCCACAGTTAATTGCAGTCTTGGAAGTTTCATGGCTTCCCGCCTGCCAAAGTTTCAACTTTGGACGATTGTCGTTGGCCCGGAGCTATTCAGAAGTATCCCGGAGTTACTTTCAATTGTTGCCCGCCAACTTTCCACCAGACTTCTTCTATTTTTTTTCGCTCCAAATTCAGATCCGCCACATCTTTGTCCGACGTTTAAGGTTAATTAAACCTGCTTCTTCTACCGTTGATTCATTGTTTCGACTTTTCGGATGTTTTTCCGCTTTCCAAACGAATCGAAAGTTTCCTTCGGCCAAAGTCGACAGACACGGAGGGAGAGAGAGATGGCGCGAGGGTGGGGTGGTATTTTTGCTTTCGGAACTCGGGTGCCTTTGGTCACGTGCAACACACTTTTCCACTTTGCGGTGTCATCGAATGTAATATCCAATTCCTTTATACTCTCTTCTTCTCTCTACGTTTTTTTTTCGTCCTCTCTAACCTATTCGAGTATCTCTCTCTCAGAGACATCATCTCGTATTATAGCTATCTCGAGTTATCTAACGGTCGACGAACCATTTTGTATATTTTAAAAAACCCTGCACACCGTTTTCTGTCTCGTTCACGTGGCCGTGAATGATGCCATTGAAGTTCGGATCGCTCGTTATAGCTCTTCTCCGTGTTTTAGGAATCGAAAGTGCGGCGCGCGTCTCGGGAATGTTATTTTAGAAGTTAAAGGAGATGCAAAGAGAGAGAGAGAGAGAGAGAGAGAGAGAGAGCGTGATATATAAAACTCGGCGAGAACTTGGGAAAAATTTCGAGTCGGAGAGAATTTTTTAAAATTCGAGGGAATAATAATACTCTACTAAAAACGTAACACACGCGAACAACCACACACACGCGCGCGCGCGAGCGAGTGCAACGTACGCGTATACGAGTCGCAGTAGGGTGCTTCTTGATTTTCTAGAAATATTAATTCGAGGGAAAAACGAGAATTTGAGGTATACCGAGAATCGAACTCTGAACTTTTGGGATAGAAAGCAGAACTCTGACCGACGCCACTGCTATCTCGTCCCATTGGCCAGTGTTATTCTTCCATCTTATATCTCGAGCATGGTATAATTTTCGGTAAATCGGTACGGGGTATTTGCATTTCTGCGATTTTCGGATATTTTTCGCTGATGTCGCGAGTCTGCTGTATATTAAATAATCGCGGGGAATCGATCGATTGATTGGCGATGCAAATTTTTTCGGAACTCGTGGCCACGACGGCCACGATCGCGACGAGGACGACGACGAGGACGACGACGAGGACGACGACGACGACGACGACGACGACAGACATCCGGACGAAGAGTTGTGAGCGCGTATCGGTAGAGACCGGGAAAAGGCGTATGGCAGGTGAATAACCAAGTGCACGTACGGTTCGGCTATTTTTACGATTTTCCGGTGGCCGCTGGCGTAAACGCTTCGATTACGTGAATTATAACAGTATTCTGGCCTCTCGACGAGGCCACTTGGCGCGGCTCGTTCGCCACGCAGCAATGAACGCTTCGGTCGACGGAATAATCGAAGGAAAAAAGGGAGGAAGAAGCACGGTGAATCGACGAGTGGCTCATCGACCGTTTGAAAGTTCGAGAAACGATGGCGAATTAATCTTCCGATTAATTTGTAGGGCTCGCAACCTGTGAACGAGATAACACCGGCGCGACGACGGATTTTCAGGATAAAGCGCCGATGCTCGGAAATTCTCCGACGGTTCTTCTCGCTGTATTAGTTTCGTATCGGCTTAACGAGAACTTCGGAATTAATGCGCCGTTGATTTTAACGCGTTCTAGGAAGGAATTGAAAAGAGGAGAGGCTCGCTACTCTCCTCGGTTTCAATCCTTTCTTTATTAATTCAGAAACCGAGTGGTTTTAGAGGAACTATAATTAAAATCGAGCTTCTCGCCCCTCCCACCTCCGGGGGGCTCCATGCTCTCTTCTTTTAATTTCGGGTTTCCAGCTTTAATTACTTCCTTGGTAATGGCCCGGTATTTGGAAATCGGGCATTCGTCGCTATTTCGCGGATAAGAATTCGCTAAAAAGTTATCCGAGTCCGGAGGCCTCGGCGGGAGCGATGCATGCCACTTTGCGAACCAATGTTCCAAACATCGAGCGTGTACCGTTCTGTTCTAAATTCCGAACATTCGTTCGATTTTCCGCCATAAGTCCAATCGTCGATCACCCGATTCGTTCGACGTGTACACGTACACGGTGGTTCGTACGAAGCGATCTTCCGAGCCCGATTCGCTGGTCGGGATGCTCCATCCACGACGCGGATCCAGCAAGCTTCGTCCACTCTTGCTCCCCGCCAGTCTCTCCTGCTCCGTTCAATTTTAATCGTATGCACGTAGACGGTAATTAACCAACGACGGTCACGTTTCTCGTGCTCGTGGTTCGCTCGGTATCTAGACTGGGATCGAACAGCGGGTGTCCCATCGACGGCGGAGGGTTAACCCGATTTCCCAATTTGATCCGGATTTCCAAAAGGTCACCGAGCGCGAGTACGCGCGCGCGCTCGCGCTCTCGCCACTCTTCCGTGTCCCGAGGAGTTGGGCATTTTCTCAACGGCGAAAGGTACTCTAATCCGATCCGTAAACACAATAGAAAGTATCTCGGGGAATCTAGGCTACCGAACGAACATCGTCGACTGGCGCGCGCGCGCTAGCTCCCATGCACGCTCCTACGCTGTTGTACGTGTGTTATCCTCGTGTACGTACGCGAGACCTGAATACCGAGCTGCTCTTCAGCCCCGGCAAAAATGTTTGACATCCGGTTACCTCGTGGAAAACGGTCTTTTGACGCGCCATCGACATTTTTTCGCCGAGGGTAAAAGGCAAATGCGAGGTAAGACAGCGGTGCCGGAGGAATTCGAGAGACGAAAATTAGAAAGGGGAGAGAGAAGCGCGGAAGGGCAAAGGCGCGGAGAAGAGAGAAATGATAAAGGACGAGCGCGTTCGGGGTATAGGAGGGATGAGGGAAAATTAGTAATGGCGACGCGGCGAAAGGCGGAGGAGGAGGAAGGTGGGAGAAAAATGGACGCGAACGCGGCGCGGGGGTACGAAATTGGGAAGACGATGAAAGAGAAGGGATCGTAATTTCGCGCAAATTCGCGCCTTGTCGATTTTTCCGCGTATCGTACCCTCAGCGTTTTCCGATACGGGGAATTTATTGATTCCCACGATCCACCGGCGAGTTCCACGGAGGTTTGCCCGAGGGGGGAATTTTAAAACCGCAGTCGAGCGTGCAGCCTAAACTCTGCCTTAGATATTACCCACCATCCTCGATAAGGGACGTTGACCAGTTTACGGACTGGATACCGAGAAATGATGCACGTTCCAGTCGAAATTACTCTCCGGTTTATGCCGCTGCAAAAAGAGATTAAAGTAGTAAACTCGACGAAATCGCAGTTTCTAACCGTGAAAAAGAGAGAGAGAGAGAGAGAGAGAGAGGGAGGGAGAAAAAAAGGGAGGAGAAGAATTCGAAAATTCGCGTTTTCTTATTCGCCTCGGTGGAAACGGAAGATTAAACGGAGCGCATAACGAAATAAACAAAGTCGCTAATCAAGTTATTACCAACAATCGTCACGTGTTACCTTTCATTAGAAGATAACGACGCGTAACCGAATGTCGCCAGTTTTAACCAGAGATTCGCCAAATCAGCTTTCCGATTCGTTCCTAATGGAACTTCATCAGCGGTCGGTGAAGCCGATGAAAGTTAAATGTCGATATTCGACTTTCACAATTTTACAAAGTCACTCTCGATAATTATGCTAATAGATACAAGCGGCTCGCGTTAATCGTTTCCGGATAATGCAATGAAAACTTCTTTTTCCTCAGAGTTTGCCCGGAACTTTCTTTCCGCCGCGAAATCTTCGCATTCTTCGAATCTACCTCGCCCGGTTTCCGATCTTCCAACAACTCGGACCAAGTATCGGGGTAATCTAATCTCGTCGGATTAGATATCGAAAAAATAGTTTTCTTCTTCCGGTTTCTGTCTCGATCGGGATTGATCGTGGAGCGCGTATTCCATCGACGTGTCCCGGTCTTCTGAAATTTTCTTCTTCTTTTTCTTCTTCTTTTTCTTCTTCTTCTTTTTCTTCTCTTCCTCCTGCTCCTTCTTGAACCGTACACGCGTTATTCGCGGGAAGGAAAGACGAAACGGCGAAGACGATCGATAAGATCGATAAGGGCAAGTAGTAGTGGACGGTGGCGATCGGTCTAATGGTAATTATCGGCTCTCGCGGTTGCTCCGAGGCAAACGATCGTTGACACGGCGTAGGCGTTACGCTGTTCTCCAACGGTATTTCTTATTTCCTTTCCGAGCGCAGTCCCGTACTTAACCGACCACCAAAGTCATAAGCGAGTAAGCATCGCGGCGAATTGGTTCGTAAAAGTGGCGCGTAGTCGGTCGAGGATCCCTGGACGGAGGCGAGTCGTAAATTAAACGCGTTGCCACGTCGGCGTTTCTATCGGTGATCGGGTTGGCTGGAAAACTGGCCATCGACCGGTTCGAACTGATTCTGATCGAGCCGAATGAAACTAATCGAAATTAGCGGGGAAACGTAAGGGCAAAAACAAGCGCGAGATACGCGAGGCTGATAGAAGCGAATGGAGGACCGAGATCGGGCAACCTGTTCCCCGTCGTAATTGAACTTAACCGAATAGGATTCGGCTCCGGGCGTCGAATCGAACGCGTATAATCGAACTCTCGAAGCAACGGGTCCGGAGTCTCGGTCGTTGCCGAGCAGAATGGAAGAACGGTAGAGAGCACGAACTTTGAACTCGTCGAAGGGGAAGAGGTTAGGCTGAATCGACTTTGTCCGATGGATCAATCCCTCTACTGTATGTTACAGAGAAAACACGTGAGACCGAGCATCGTCAGGGGCAATCGTGATCGAGCTGTGCACGTTTAAACGGATTCGCGTTTAAATGCTTCCAAGATCATCGTCTTAGAAGCGTTCTCATCCGGTTGACGGAGGCGCCCGGGTTGGTTTCACTTCGAGAACGAGCCCGTCGGCTGACTGCGCATCGGACCAACACCTGTAAGCATCTTCTCTCTCTCTCTCTCTCTTTCTCTCTTTCTATCTCTCTCTCTCTGTTTCTCTCTTTCTTTCTTTTTCTCTCTCTCCTTCGAGCCAAGAAGTTTTCGTGCGTTAGACAGACTCTTTCTCGAACCGTTTGCGCGTTGGCTCGCATTTGCATCGCGGATATAGCTAGTACGTGTACATATATATGCGTATGTATGTATCGCGGAGCTAGCCGCCTAGAACGGAAGGAATAAAAATCGTAAATGCAACCGTTCTGCCACCACCACCACCACCATCACCACCACCACCACCACCACCACCATCACTACGACCACCACCCCCTTCGGGCGTTCCGGAAACGGCTGGAACAAAGTGGTCTTCTAACAGGAAACGTTAAATTACCGCGATCTCTCTCTCTTTCTCTCTCTCTCTCTCTTTTTCTCTCTCTTTTTCTCTCTCTCTGTGTCTATGTCTATCTATCTATCTATCTCTATCTCTGTCTTTCTCGAATCGATCGTAATTTTCGAGCATAATTTTAGGCCGAGCGTGATTAACGGGCAAGCTGAGAGATAACCGATTAGCCCGAGGTATCGTGGGAACTCGAGAAGTATCACCGCGCGGATTCAATCGCAAACGTTCACCCCGAATCGCGTATATCGTTCCCCGGAGAAACGGCTGCTCCTCGCGATCGCCGAGCAATTAAGATAATTACCTATCAAGATTTTTTCGCCGTTTCTTCCCGATTGCTTCCCGTGCTAATTACTCGATACCGTACGCCAAGCTCTTTATCATTATTCCCCACCCTGCGCCGTTCAAAGGAGAGTCACCGACGAGAAACGCCTATTCGAGAGGCGTGATTTCTCGCTTCTCGTCTCGTTGCCAGCGCGTGGCCGAATCGCGAAAAGTTCTGATCTTTCCTGACGCGAAACTAATGTTGCAGAGTGGAGAAGGAAGGCGGTGGGATTACGGTGAACCACAGGAACGGATCTTGGCGGGTGAAGAGCCGGTGGCAGTGCCAGGTCCGCGCATGCTTCAGCAACGAGGCAGTTCAGCAACGACACCTCCCGCGACGTCATCCTCCAACATGTTCCCCCAACAGTATTGCTTACGATGGAAATACCATCACAGCAACCTACAGACCATGTTCTCACAGCTGCTCGAGCGACAAGCTTATTGCGACGTCACTCTGGCCTGCGAGGGCAAGACTCTCAGAGCGCACAAGGTAAACAGAGACACGTTCAACCCCCGTTGCCTTTTTGCCACGTGGATCGCTCGACGATCGAGTTCGCGCTCCTACGCCACCACGGCCACTCTCTCGCGAATCCAATCACCGATTCGTCCGCTGCTTACCTTCCCGCCGTATCTTTTCCCCCCTCCCCCGGCCGGGTCTACTCGATCGGACGAGATATCTCGACGAGTCGAACAAGTGGCAAAAAGTTTCCACCAGGTGAAAAGGAAAAAGAAAAGCAGAGAAAGGAAGAGAAAGATAGGCTAATCGCGGTCATAGGCGATATCCCGCGGCGTGGATATCGAATGGAAAGAGAATAATCGTTTCATCGGCGGCGTGGCCCTTTAACAGCGACAACTTTGCCCTTCGTTGGACTTCGATAGTCTCCTATTCGCTTTAAAATCCCTTTTCCACGCGTACGCTCGGTTTCAGCTATTTTACGCTTTGAAATGTTTTAGAGGTGCTCGCTCGTTCGCTCTGCGTCGTTTAACGCGTTACAGGGGCATTGTATCATCGTCGAAACGCATAGTACTCCATTTTCACTTTCCGTAAATTGGATACACAGTTCTCCGCTCTTTTGTCCGCCCAAATTGCTACGTATACTCTACTTTTTTCCCCCGTAGCCTTAAACTCGGGGGAAAAAAGCAGCGCGCGCGCGCGCGCGAATCGCGACGGGAAAATGCTGCAACCGACGACGAATCGTCGCCGATCGCGAGGGTAACCGATTCCCAAGAATCACGGTCCGCGATTCGCGTGTAAAATGAGGAACAAAGGACGAAAGCTGAGAAGCGAAAGGTGAAAAACGAAAAGCGAAAAATGAAAAATGAAAAATGAAAAAGGAGAAATGAGAAATAGGAGGAAAAAAAAAATTGCGAAAACAGAGGAGGATGGTAGTTCGATAAACGCGTTTTCCCGTAATTAAACTTCATCCCCGACGGAAAAAGCAGGCGAGCAGACGACAACGAAGGGCGAAGGCAATCTCGTCCAGCTTCCATTGACTTCCACGATGCCCGTTCGTCCGTTTCACTCCCCCCTGTTTTTTCCTCCTACACGTGTCTCTCTATCGGTCCGCAGGCAACCCCGTTCGACCATCCTTTCTCTCTCTCTCTCTCTCTCTCTCTCTCGCTCTCTGGCTCTCTCGGTTCGTAGGTTTTTCTGCGTGCCCACCTCTTCCTTGGCGGCGCAGTGCCGGGCGGAGAATTTCCTCGATTCGTCTTATTGCGCGTCGCGAGGCGGGAGAAAAGAGACGGAGCGAACGGCCGTGGAACGGGTGGAGGAGGACGGAGCGAGAGAGAAAAGCGAGGGTGGGGGCAGCAGACCACCCTCGCCTGCCCCGGGGAACATAAAACTTAACAAACGATCAATTTTCTGTTCTTTGTTTCTTACCAGGCTGGAACTACGGTATTTCGCCACTCTCCGTTCCCCACCCCCGGCTTTCTCCTTCGGCCCCACCGCCCGCTCCCGTTCACCCCCCGGTTCTCTCCACCCTTTCTTTCCTTTTTCCTTTCTGTCTTTCTTTCCTCCTTTCCCGCCGGCTTCGCCCGTTTCGCCCGTTTCGCCCGCCCGGCTTCGCCCCCTTAGCCTCACCCACTCACCCTCGCCCTCTCACTTTCCCTGGCAATCGCTATCTTCTTCTTTTCTTCCCTCCCACCCTATTCGCGGGGCTGTTTCACCCCTCCCTTCGAGCCCGACGGCGAGCCGCCCCCTCCATGTTTCCCTTTTTGTATCTCCGTCTCGGCTGTGCGTCGAAACGAGCCGCGCAGAGGAGAGGCACTCTATCAAAGTAGAGTACGTTTGGCTTGGTTTATTTTTTACTTTGGGAGGGGTCCAAATTGTAAAATCAATACTTCCTCCTAAATTTAGAATGCCGCCACCGAGCGACGCCGACGCGCGCGGCCTTTTTCCTCGTTCCTTTTCGGCCTGTACACGGGAGGCTTGGTCGCGCGCGCGTCGCGATGCCGCGCCACGCCGCTCCGCGCAGGGAACACACCAGCGGCAAGAGAGAGGAGAGCGAAAGAGAGGGTGATCTCGCGCGGACGCCGCCGCGTCATCGCGCCGGAAAACAAAAGCCGACGCGCGGGCGAATGCGCGCACTCTTCGAGACAAGGCTGGGATCAAAAACGACGGCGACGCAACGCGGGGGTGGTCCACCCGTCGCCCTTTTCTACCCCCTCTCGCGCTCTCTCTCTCTCTCTCTCTCTCTCTTCCACTCTTTCTTTCTCTCTCTCTCTCTCTCTCTCTCTCTCTCTCTCTCTCTCTCTCTCGTCCAGACGACTTTGCCTCGATTCCGAGATCGCGAAGCGGTTTCGGAAATCGAAACGTTCGTTGTCACGCGTGCGATAGCGGGTAGTTGTTGCGGTAGTAGTGGTGGTAGTAGTAGTAGTAGTAGTAGTAGTAGTAGTAGTAGTAGTAGTAGCAGTAGTAATAGGTAGTAGTGGAGAACTGTCCACGTCCAGTCTGTACCGCTGGGTTGTAGCGTAGGGCTAGGAATTACGGACAGCTGCTCCCTTGTGCCTCTGCCACCTGTATCCAGGTGTGCTCGATGATCGTAGATGCGATCGCTTCGCGAATGTGGGGAAAATCGAAATCGTTTTTTCTTCCCTTTTTTTTCTTTTCTACCGCTTCGTTTTCGACGTTCGTCTGTCGGACGAAGGCTGACCAAGCCGTTATTTCCTTTTTTCCTTCCTGCTTTTTCTTTTTCCCTTTTTTAGGGTTCCGGTATGTCGTAACTATCTCCGTCCGAATTTCGATAAACCTTGACACGAGGAGACGACCTGTATTTCGAGGACTGGTAGGGAAAACGTTGCGCGAATAAATCAAAGGTCACGCGCGTTTGTTTGTCGACGGACGGTCAAAGGGGCGAGGTACTTTGGCGATAGACTTGTCACTTGCTTTTTTCCCCGTTTTCTCTGATTTTTTTCGAAAGGTCAGGGAAAATAACGGCAGCAAGATGTACGCGAATGACAGGGTAGGTGGAAATACTCGTCCGGATTGAAATATAAACGACAGAGGCGGTGTGGTACGATCAAAATGCAACGTCAGTCGCGCTACGATGTTGTGGTTTGTTTTATGACGGTGTTGCGTTTGTTTCCTTGTTGTTCGTTTTCGCGATCGCCGCCGGTGGGAGGTTAAATATCGATTGCCGTTCGATGTAACGCTTTCGGCTTTGCTCGTGGCAGCTGAGGTCGTCTTTTTCGTAAAATAAACCGATTTCGAGTACCGAGACCGATGATCCCTGATGCAGACAGCTTAATTTCCGACCATTGTTATTAAACGAATAGACGTCCGTGTTTCGCGAATATATAAAGTCGAGGACAATTTCGACGGACGCGTGCGCGGCCAGCAGAGCGGTATCGTATCGTGGCGGTCGTTAAACCGGTCGTTGGAATTATCCAAGACGAGGAGAGTCTCGAAGCCAAAACGAAAAGACGGATTACAATGGTGCCGCCGAATCACGGCAGACGAGAGTCGCTGGAAAATACGTACAACGGTTATCGATCCCGCGACAAACACGCGACAGCGATTCCAAGGATAACTTGATCCGATGTCCATGAAAATCCGCTTAATTCCAACGGTATGTTCCGTTAACGATTACGCCGATGGATTCGGACGACATCGGTGAGCGTTTCGCCGACGCTCGATCCCCCTGACTTTTCGATCCGGGACCACGCGCGTCCAAGACAACGCGCGCGGGTCTCGCCAACACACTCGATTTAACCGTTGCACTACGCTACTGGTCGTTTTTCTCCATGACTAACGTCCCGTTAACCTCGAGTTGCCTGGAACAAACGCGATAATAAGCGGAGGAGTCTCTCTCTCTCTCGTTAGACTCTCGAGGAGAGCTGCACACGAGTATCCCGCGGTTCGGAAAAATCAGTCGTCCCTCGATCCGGAAACCCTATCCGCGTGGAGACAGAGAGATCGTACGTGTACGACGAAACTCGAGGGATTCCTATAAAATTTCATCGAAAGGCACACGCGCGTTTCTTCGTCCGTTGAAACTTTCATACCGGAATCGAGCAACGATACACCGGAGGGTGACCGTGTCGACTAACCGCATCGCGACCTATTTTTTCAAAAGCAGTTTTCAACTATAGACCAGATTCTATGTATACTTCGAGCTAGATAGCGAATAGTTTCTAGGTTAACTTCATTTTTCATTTACGCGGAACTTACCGTTCACTCGGAACGTACTCGCGGCCGCTGAATTTCTCCGCTGTCGCGCGACGCGCTCCATCCGATTCGCTTCCCTCTCGAGGACCACGAGGCCCGTTCGAAATCGCGATCGATTCTCGCGCGTGTACCGATCGCGGAGCGGGGTAGCTCGAGTTTGCTCCGGCAATCCGGAGAACCGATCGCAACGGCTCGACGACGACGACGTTTCGACGGACGTTGTCGCGTTAGGCTACTTTTTCGATCGCTGGTCACTATGCGAACCCGACAATCGGGGTCAGCCTATCGATCAAGGTGTGCGCGCTGGCGCGCGCTCGCACGCGGCCGCGGAAACGCAAAGAAAACGACAGTGAGATTCCTCGCGTTCTGCGACCGTGACGATGATATCCACGCGCGTTCTCAGGTTCACTCCCGCCGACAGGAGATGCACGTTACAACACCGTGTGCCTCGCGGGTAATTATATGCCGCGCCAGAAGGGTTGCCAGGTGCCAGGGTCGTTAAACCCGGACATCCTGTGTTCTAAAAAACACGACGCGCCGCTTCCTAACTGTATAAATAATAGTACTCCTTTATTCCGTGGGTCTGGCCGAGAGCCTAACTCGACTCGGCGACACGTTCTCGCACGAAAATGCACGCGGGGAACGGAAACGGTGACCGTATGAGGAGAAACCGATCGATCGATCTCGATCTCGATCGCGATCGCGAGGAAGAGACGCGTCGCGTCGTACACGCCGCACCACACCACTCTCCCTCTCTCTCTCTGTTTCTCTCGACTCTGGTAGCGTAAATAGGAAAGATTTTCCCGACAAAGGATTCGTCG